CAGGTTGGAGTGCAATGGTGTGATCTCAGCTCACTGCAACCTCTGCCTCTTTGGTTCAAGCAATTTACCTGCCTCTGTCTCCCGAGTAGCTGGGATTACAGGCACCTACCACCACGCCTGGCTAATTTTTATTTTTGTAAAGATAGGGTTTCAGTATGTTGGCTAGGCTGGTCTCAAACTCCTGACATCATGATCTGCCCACCTCAGCCTCCCAAAGTGCTGGGATTACAGGCATGAGCCACTGTGCATGGCCTAATGTTGATGTTTTTACAGAGGCTTTAGGGTAGACAAAAAGAAGAGCTGGCCTTCACATGGGAAAGTTCATTAAAATATGGTTGGAAGCTATGGGCAAGAGAAATGGCCTTAAAAATGAAAAGGAACAGAATGAGTGATTACACCAACAGCTTTGAACTCTTAGCCATTAGCCAAAGCTGTCTCCTACTATCATGTTATCCCTCCTCCCCCTCCTTCCTTCTTTGTCCTTATACCTGCCTTTTACACTCAGGCAGCTCTGCTATGTGACTGTGTTTTGGAGGCTTCAGGGAGCCTCATGCCTCCAAGTTCCCAACCTGGAGGACTGTAGCTGGCTAGACATGAACCTGGTTACCAGGAAGAGCTCAAAATTAGGAGGATGTAAATCTTATCAGGAAGACAAACAGATTTTAAAACTGATACAGAGGAAAAGATGAACCAAGAGCTAGGAAATTCTTGCTCTGTAGCCAGCAGCACATCCCTGATGTACAAATCCTTATACCTTACTCCCCTTCTCTTTGCCTATTTGACCTGCTTGGTGTGGGCGTTGGGTAATCAGTGCAGTTGCATTTATTTACAAAGGCACTGAGGAGACCAGGGGTCCAACCTTCCCCACATAGAAGACTTGTGGGTGGGCAGCCCCAAGTGCCCAAATGGCAGGGTGAAGCCTCCTGGGAGGAAGCGGAGGTGATTTGTGAGGATAATATGAGCTGGATCTCCTCCTTTTAATATCTCTACCAGGGAAGATTAGTGAGGGCACATCTTTAAGAAAGGAGTGGTATGGTGGATAGTACCCAGACTGAAGTGCTAGCTCTTAGGCCTAAAAGAAAGTAGAATTTCTGTAATCCTTTCTCTCCCTCCCTCCCTCTTGTTAATTCTACATTGCCATTGCCATTTTAACCTGCTATGGATATTAGGCAAACAGAAATGTGATCATAATCAAAGGCATCCATCCATGGAGTGAGCATAAGGTATCTGTTGAATACAGGCACCAGGGTGGCAATAGGAAAGTTCCAATTCTGAAGGAGGAGAGAAATGTTTTACAGCCCAGAGGCCAGATTGCCCAGACTTTACCTACATCAGCGGTAGGGCGCAGTTGATCAATTTTCTAATCAGTGCAGACTTTGCTGATTAAGGCTATACTGTGGACAATGCTCAGCTTTACACATGGTTAAGCTGGACCTTTTAACAAGGTACATAGAGTATTTCCACCACAAATGATTTGGATATCTGATGGATATTTAAGAGAAGCCATTCCTTCTTTCTAACTTCCTTTGGGGTGCCATCATCTCCCAAACATGGGGATCCTGACTACTGCAGAAAAGAGAATTCTGCCCTCTCCCTCACTGGGAAGTAACTTCTCTTTTATGGAGACCAGATCAGTTTTCCTAAGGCTAGAGTTCAATCTTTTTTCACTCTTTTCTGCTAGGATCCTTGCTATTATCGTGGATACCTATTCTAGCCCTCGTCACTTTGGAGATGCAGTACAGTATCCATTGTACCAGGATCTCCCACCTTGAAGTTCTTTTTACTGGGTTTGTTTGCTTGTTCGTTTGTTTTGTCTTCCGGGCAATTTCCATGCTTGCCTATCTGCCAGACCAAAGATTACCAAAAAGTGGTTTAAAATATTTGTTATGTTTAAGGCTTTCCCTTTCTTCCAAAATCTTTGACAACACAAAGTAATCCATTAATCAGACAATTCACAACTGATAAAAGCAATAAATAGTAATTATTCACATTGGAAACATATTCTTCCCTAGAAAACAGAGATCCCTTATTGCATTTGGGTGCTAACAGATCATTAACTACTTGTCATCACAGAAACCTAGGAGGAGGACTTTCAGAAATAAACATAAAACAGCCTATGCATCGACAGAAAATAAAATTTGATTTTCTAAAATGAATCTAATTTATGGCACAGCTTTTTTCTTGGAATTCTTCTGTTACGTAATGGAAGACATACTCACTTCTAGGCAAAGCCACACAAATCAGGGAAAGGGACATTCCAAGGTGTTGGAAAACTTACTTGCCAAAGTTGAGCCAATCTATATAGGTATGGTTACATCATTCTAGAAGTCTGGTAGTCAATCTTGGAGTCTCCTTTACACACACTGGTCATTTTTTCAATACTTCTGGATCCATGTCTTCCTAATGCTGGACTATATATTCAGCATATGCCATGTTGCTAAAACAGAAACAATGAGAAACTTACATGTTCTGCATGCCTTGAGTTTGAGTTTAAATTTGTAATGTTGATGTTGCATTAATAGCCTATTTTGCATATCTGTTTGATTGTACCATCTTAAACATTCATTTAAAACTAGGGAGGTCAGCATGACTCCTACCTGCTTCTCATTAATAACATACTTTTCAGCAAGTAGATAATGAATGACCTGGATAGAAATCAGTGGCGATGCAGATTGCCATCAGGTGGGGAAACAAGCAGGCAATCCACTTTCTTCACAACACTGACAAGCAGTTTCGAGGCTGAAGGTAGAGAAAGCAAGCCTCAAAGAGAGATGACTGTCTAGGAAGGTTCTTAATAAAATATTCTGTTGTCTTTACATGTGGGACTATGAGGGAAAAGTCCTCCTAATGGAAATTAAATTTTGCAAGTGACTTTAAAATTCTTGGGTTAATAGAAATAAGTGATTTAATTATGGAGAAAAAAAACAGATAACTTGGCTACTGATTTTCCTAATGGGTTCTGAAAAAATACAGGTTTGTATAAACATTCCTTAGTTTGTTGAATTAACTACTGTTAGTAGCACACAGGTAGGGATGGGGTGGGAAGTAGTGGGCCGTCAAAGGTCTGCCATTGATTGATCAGAGCTGGGATAGAAGGCAATCAAGTGAGTCTTAAAGGAAAACCATGTAATTCTTTTATTTAAGTATTATTGGCCCAGTCCACTTTTCTGGAATAACAAAAGATATTAATAATAATGCCCTTGCTCAAGATGCGGAGGGCCTGTTTTTCAAGTTACTATATTTCTTTGGTAATAAGGTACAGAAACAGGGACTTACATGAAATGTATTTCAAACCAATGTCTGCTAATAAATCATCCCATATGCCATAGTTTTCACAGGTATCAGAAAATACATGAGATTTGGGCCAGGCACAGTGGCTCATGCCTGTAATCCCAGCACTTTGGGAGGCCTATGCGGGCAGATCACTTGAGGTTAGGAGTTCGAGACCAGCCTGGCCAACATGGTAAAACCCCATCTCTATTAAAAATACAAAAATTAGCCGGGCATGGTGACACACACCTGTAATTCCAGTTAGTTAGGAGACTGAGGCATGAGAATTACTTGAACGTGGGAGGTGGAGGTTACAGTGAGCTAATGCCACTGCACTCCAGCCTAGGCAACAGAGTGAGACTATCTCAAAAACAAAACAAGACAAAAAAAAAAACCCAACAAACAAAAAATGATACATGAGATTTGGAAATGCAACCTGGGCTTTCAGTTTCTCTCTTCTAAGTCCTTTACGATTCAACATGGCTTCCTTCTGCAGTTTGAGTATTTATCTTTACTGAATAAAGGTGATAGCTGTATCAGAAATTCAAGTCAAACGACGTAAAGGTGTGATTTGTTTACTTTGGAGGGTTTTCAGACTTTGGTTTTGTTTCTGTTCAACAGTGGTAATGAAAACACAGGTCTGAATATAAAACAACTTAGTTTTCTAGATGATTCTTTAAAAAGAAAAAAAAACTTTGCTTCAGCTCATGATTCTGCTTCTTATTTTTTGTTTTCTAATGAAGTGTGACTTGCAAATCTGCAATTTGGCAGCATGTATTTCTGTTTGGAGCGTTTGGTATAGCTTGGCTCAAGTCCCTGGTTACTGTATGACAGCATCCGAGCCAAATGGCTATAACATTCAATCTGCCCAATTAAAAAGTGTTGGTCCCGTTCCCCCTTTGGTGACTTAAATCAGGCAAATTTACTGTTGTGACCTTAATATAACTGTAAGGCAGTTTGAAAAAACAAGGCAAAGGCATTTGGAATGAGTAGTTGACAAAGTTATTTGGAATTTTTAGAGAGAAGCATCTCTAGAGGTTCTACCACTTTCAATCTTGATTGTACTCAATTCTTCAACCCATCTATCAGAGCTGATACAGAGAACTATTTTTCAAAAAACTGAGGGAATTGTGAGTGTTGTCATCTGGCTGCCCACCCCTTTTGGAATTCTTCCCTTGGAAATAAGAGTCAGAGTAGGTGTAAGCAACTTAATGTAGCAACTCACAGAGCCAGAAGAAGATAATCAGGCTGGGTAGAAACTTAAGGAGTGCACTTTTTGGTTTTTTTCACAAATATTTTCTTGTATCTGTTCTTTAGAAATAAAGTATGGTTCTTAAATAACAAGAGCAAGAATATTCTTCCGTGGCATACCTAGACTCAGGAGTTCATTTATTTTCAATTTTACACAAATAGAATAAATTTAAAGGAAACAGTTTCTGCATGTCCCTAAGGAATTCTTGCCCATGCAAATAACACAGCTTACCTTTCTCTAGAGAGGCTTCTACAAGCAGTCTGGGGAAGCTATTCTGAGCTACATACTAGCTCTGATTAGAACAGGAGTTATTCCCCCTACCTACCCCACTGTCTCTCAACCCAGATGATAGCCAGCCCTCTGACTGGTGCAGGCAGGATTTCCATTTGATGTAGTCAACGCTTCCATAATTAGGGTAAACTAGAAAAATACTATGAAGTAGGGAAAGTGGTTCTTGGTGCCCTTTTTCTGCCTTTTAGTTCCTCATTGCTATTCCTTAAGCTATAGACCGATACTGTCCAATAGGGTACCTGCTAGCCACATGTAACTATTTAAATTGAAAATAACTAAAATTAAAATTAAAAATTCAGTATTTTAGTAGCACTAGCCACATTTCAAGTGCTCAGTGGACATGTGTGGCTAGAAGCTACTTGGAGAGCAGAGATATGGAACATTTCAGAAGTTCTATGAGATGGTGCTTCCAACTATTAGTTCTTTTAGCTTCTTGAGCATAAGGAACATGTCTTCCACATCTCCATTTCTTATAGCATGTACCACAGTTCCTGATACAATTATGGAATGGGGGAGAAACTAAGCGCTTAGTATGTTGTCATGAGCTATGTCAAATTTAGTATAAGCAATCTCTCATTTCATTACCTCAAGAACACTATAAGGTGGGTCCTATTATCATCCCCATTTTACAGGTGAGGAAACTGAGTCTCAGTGAGGTTAAATTATTTGCCCAAAGTCACACAGTTAATAGGTACCTAAACCAGGTCTTTGTAACTTTAGGACCTATGCTGTTAACAACTGCTGTATACAACAAAAGAAAACTTCACATAACTACAAATTTCAACATGGGACAGGCAGGCCCCTTCCAGGGCATTGGTGACTAGGATGCTTCTCCACAGCACTCATACTGGCCAAGGCAGAATAAAGACAATTTGAGATCAGAGGCTGAGCTGAAGACTGGGGGTTTAATAAGTGTCCTCATTTGTATTTGCATATGGGTATCAGATTAACTGGTTATCTGAGTACTTCTCTGAATGAAATAACAGCAAATTAGTACTTTTATCTGTCACTGCATATGGAGACCATTGCCTTGATCCCAATGGTAAAGATTAGTGGAACCTAATCATTTCATGAAGTCAAGTTCACCTGCTGCACTTATCAGAAGCTTCTGTAACTTGAGCTTCCATGGAGCACAGTTTATGTCAGGACATGCAAATGCCAGAAAATCAATTTTCCTGCAGCTTTCACAGTCAGTGTGTTTGCCAGACAAAACTGCAGCCAGCCACTTTTTTAAAATCAGCATAGCACCTTTAGAAATAATACTTACCAGAACACTCCTAACACAGCGAGGAGGAAAGGACTTAAATCTAAACCCAACTGTTCAAATTCGAGAGCCACAGGAGAAGGTGAAATATGAATATATTGAAATTGAACATTTTAGTGGCCCCATTTGGCACTATAAGCTATTCTCTGCCAAGCACGTGGTGAGTTAGCTTTAATTCTAATCTGTGCCTCAGTAGGACTGACAACACTTAATGTGACACCATACTTTGTCACCCACATGTGCCCAGGTCCTCACATGACCCCGACTTATCAGGGTGGGACTCCACATTGCCTGCCCACCCCAAGACCTATCTTGATTCTCCTTCCTCTGGCATTCTTCTGGCACACATTCTCAAATAAACCAAATCACCACAAAAGTGGTAGATGTGGGGTTCTGTTAGTTTCCCATTTGCCATGAGTCTATAATGTACTTTATTGAGGACTTACTACATGCCAGGAACTGTTACGGGTGCTTTACATGAATTATCTCATTTAATAATCTATCTCCACTTCAGAGATAATTATTAGAGTCTTAGAGAAATGTAAGTAACTTGAGAAAGTCAAACAGAAGCCATGATCTCTAATGGTAGCATTTAGGGCCTGTGACAAGCTAGTGAGTTATTATATTGGTGCCTTTTACCTCGGAGCATGTTGCACAGGCTTCAAAGCTGAACCAAGGAGGAAGATCAAGGCTATATAAAATCATGTCAAAACAACAAAAAACTTCACTCAATTCTCTGACATTTTGGTCACTGTAGTTACTAGCAATTTTTCCACTGGGAGGCAGTGCAGAGGAGTAGAAAGAAAACAGGTTTTGAAAACCAGCACATCTGGATTTGAATACTAATTCTGTCCCCCTGCATCTATGCAAACTTGGAATTATCACTTTACCACTGTAAGCTCTGGAAGGAGAGAGAAAAAGGGGAATATAGACTGTTGTGTCAAATGAGCTGGGTTTAAATCTCAGCTACGCATTTATTCATTCAGTTAATATTTATTAAGCACATGCTATATGATAGTCATTGTTGTAAGGGCTATAGATTAGATCATGTCATTCCTGTGCTCAAAGTCCTTTAGGTGACTTTCTGTGAAACAGCATATAATCCAGAATTTTTATCATGGTTTTTCTTCTTCACTGCTCTCATCTCTTACCACTGTTTCCCTCACTTACTTGCTATCAACCAGACTGCTATGTCAGGGCAAAAGTTGAGGAGCAGGGAGACAGACCACTGAAGAAGTGATTGTAGGATGGGCATGGTGGCTCACACCAATAATTTCAGCACTTTGGGAGGCCAAGGCATGAGGAACACTTGAGCCCAGGAGTTCAAGACCAGACTGGGCAAAATAGTGAGATCTCCATCTCTACAAAGAATTTTTTTAAAAAATTAGCTGGATGAGGTGGCAAATGCTTGTAGTACTAGCTACTCAGGAGGCTGAGGAAGGAGGATCCCTGAGCCCAGGAGTTCGACGCTGCAGTGAGTTAGGATCACACAAGTGCACTCCAGCCTGAGCTATAACAGAGAGAAACCCTGTCTCTAAAAAAATAAAATAAAAAAATAAAATAATTCAGTTTTAAAAAGAAGCAATTGCAATATTTCAGATGAACAATGATTGGCTTGAATTAGGATGAAGGCAGGGAGAAGTGGTTGCATTTTGAATATAGATTGAGCTGACAGGGTGTGGAATGTGAGACCAAAGAGAGGAGTCAAGGATGTCAAAAAGGATTTTGGCCTGAGCAACTGGACAAATTGGAAGGTGCTGCCATTTTCTTTGATGGAGAACAGTAGAGGAATAGCAAGCAGGGGTGGAGGAGAATCAAGAGATCCATTTTGGCCACGCTTAGTTGGAGATATCTATGAGACATCTAAATGGAGCTATCAGTTAGGTAGGTGGATAGATGAATCTAAAGTTTAGTGAAGTCAGAGCTAACAATTTAACCAGGGGTATCTCCTTGGAGAAGTAAAATAACTTCGTTAAGTATTAGTTACCTTCTCAGTAAAATGGAGACAATATTGGTTTCACAAGGTTGTTTTAAGGATTAGCAGTCATGTATATAATGCGTGAAGCACCATTCCTGTTGCATGTAAGTGCTTAATAAATGGCAGCCCTCTCATTGTCAGCATTTATGCATTAATTGGTAGCTCGTTGTTGCAGCTGTAGGATCATTGCTGCTTATTCTAAACACACGTTGAATATTAGAATCACTTAGGAAGCATTTTTTTACAACGTGGGCCCCACCCCAGGCCAATTAAACCAGAATCACAGAAGCAGTCATCAGTAGCTTCCTAGGTATATAGTATTTCCTACAGACAAACTGGCTTTAACAAAACTTCTCTTCGGATTAGTTCCAACTCACGTTTTAGGAAACATAACACTCCCCAAAAAACACTAAATGGAAAATTTGGACTCTTCTGGCTAACCCCGAGCAAGTTGCTCCTTCTTTGCTTCGTTGTTTTTTCCCTCCCCTCAGTATGAAAACGATTCTTTCTCTGGGGACCTGGAAGCAACAGCCACAGTAGAAACTTAAAACATTGCAATTTCAGGATAGATTTTTCTTCTTAATAGAAGAGCATTTTCCCTCTCGTTTCCTAGTATCCGTTTTGTCAGGTTTGGCCTCCACATTACAATTGATTCAAGAATAACAAGAGTATTAAACCTCTTTTTAAAATATCTTAGTAATAGAAAATAAAAATACAGTTAATCCAATTGGTCAATGGTAATTGGCTTTGGATTGCTGGAGATGCCGTTTCATTGCAAAATAGAACTCTAGAAGGCTGAGGGAAGTGACCTTAGAGTGTTCAATAGTGATAGCAGGCCTAGAAGCAATACGTGCTTGACAGTCAGGGAATTTGAGGCTTTTCTTTAGTTAGTAGTGAAAGGGTGTGGCAGACACACTTTCTTTGTGACCCATTCTCTGTCTTGAAAATAGATTCTGCAATCTAAAGGTGAGGGTACAAAGCAAAGTCAGGTTTTCAACACACACACACACTTCTCCTCCTTACCCAAATAATGTGTCCACCATCCGGCTGTCATTCCTTTAGCTGTGTTTTGATCCTATGAGGGGATCAGAATGTTGGATATTGTTCATCTTTTATACCTCAGTGTGAATGCTTCCAGTTTTCTGAGCACAGGATGGAGTGGGGAAGGCGTCTTTTACCTGATAAGGTAAATGAAAAAGAGGTGGTGCTTCCCCGACAGCAGAGTGAAAAGTGAGGAGCAGCTGTGAAAATTAAAGTTGACTCACAGTCTTGGCTTACAACAGCCATATAAGTTCAATACATGAGGTTATATTTCTTTCGTATTTTCATTCTCAAAATAAGGAGAAAAAAATAATTTGTCGACCTCTGGTTTAAAAGGTGGGGTTTTCATGTGGATTAAGGGTAAGACACCTTAGTCTCCAGTCTTATATTTCAGGGAGAGAATAACAGAAATGTCATGTCCCTTGAAATGATGGCTAAAATATAAGCATCGTTTCAATCGGAAAGCAGAATTTCTGTGAAGTCATCCCAACCCTACCATATGGCCTAGCCTATCTGGGAACAGTGTACTGTTTGAGAGTAGAGACTCTGGGGCCTGCGTGAATGAGTTCTCGGCTCCACCACACACCAGCTGTGTGGCATTAGGCAAGCTACTTAACTCCTCTGTGCCTCTGTTTCTGCATGTTTAAATGGGTTAATATATAATAGTATAATCTATTTCATAGAGTTGTTGTGAGAATTATATTAGTTAACACATGTAAAACCCTTGAATGGATCTGGAACAGAAAGTATGTGTTCAATTAAATGTTAGTTATGATGGTTTTCCCACTTAATGATGGCTTAATCGAAGTCCATATAGCAGAGTTTTGCAACCTTGGCACCACTGAATTTGGGGCCAGATAATTATTGGTGGTGGGGGCACTGTAAGATGTTTAACAGCACCACTGGCTTCTACCCACTAGATACCAGTAGCACTACTCTCCCCAAGTTGTGACAATGAAAATTGTTGCCAAATGACTCCTGAGAGGCAAAGTTGTTGCTGACTGAGAGACACAGGGATAGAGAATACTGTGTCCCTTCCTCTATTTTCCCAGAATAGAGCAATGGTACCTTAGAAACAGTTTCTGAAAGAATGTATTGACTCTGGCTTTCAAAGTCGTATGGCCACTGGCACTACTGTCAACCCATTGGAATATGCTTAATCTGACTCAGCAAGAGAAGCAGAAGATTAATCAGATTAGTAATCTGACTTTGCATGCCGGACAGGGACACTACAAAGGTCTCAAGAAACTTAGCTGATTGTCACCTGCACCTTTGGAAAGGAGACATGGGGAATAGCCTCCTTGAGGTGGAAGGAAACCTGTCCCTGGACTTGGGAACACAGTTTGAAACTGTTAAGCAAAGTCATTTGGAATGGCACTTGACGTTTGAGGGCAAAACTCAACGTCTAGGCAAAAGGTGACCTCCAACTCCAATGAAGTTATCTAAAAGCCCAGCCCTCAAAATAACTCAGTCAGGCTCATAACACACAAGTAGAAAAACTAAGAATAGAAACCAGAATTCCTTTCCCTTCCTTTCTCCTGTGTTCACCAATACACGGTCCCATGGCAGTTGCTGATTGTCTGAAACAAAATGACACGGACAAGCAGTACTTATCTGAATGTTAAAAATGTGCAAACCTAAGTAAAGGAAAGAAAGTGAAATTGGGGTTTTGGCCATGCTTAGAAATGAAATCATTTCTTGTGTGCCTTGCTCCAAATCAAAATGGAAACTATTTCCTTTACTTTAGGGTGAAAATTGTAAAAAGAAATGATGCCTTTTTTCCAAATGCACCTTATTAGAGCTATTGACTTCTTCAGAATAAATGTGGAAGAAAAACATGTGTCTGATGCATTTGGCAGCCCAGATGTGTTTTTCTTCTTTTGCCTCAAATTGCTCTGATCGTTTAACATGGTGAAGTATGGACACTAGGGGCCTATAGGAGGGTTACAGTGAGTGACAAGGATGTTCATTTATTCCAGTGCCTTAGTGAGCAGGGATTTGGAGTTAATTTACAATTTGCCCCAACTTCAAAAGAAAAACGTGGACAAGAAGTAAAAAATGTTTTTGAAGGTGAGTTGCCCTCTTTCATCAAAAAGGATATTGTTAGTGCTAGAGCCAGCAAAAGCAGCTGGGGTTATAAGGAGGAAAGATCTGAAACCTTTCCAGTTAACTTAGATAGTGTCCCAGCCTTGTTCCTCATTAGCTGTGTGACCTAGAATAAGTAGTTGAGTCAATGGCAAATCTTTGAATTTCTATATTGAAGACTCTTCAAGGTGGAATTCTGGTTGGGCCTTATTTGGAAACTATTTGCCTAGAAAGCTTTTTTCAGGCTTGATTTATAGTGATGGGCTAGATTCATGGAAACGAGTGAGGAGGCTAAAGCCCACAATGGCACCTCTTGGCATTGCCACTGCACTTACCCTCCCTTATCCTCAATTCCATCTTTTGTAAAATAGGAATTCATTCTTTTATTCAACAGATATTTATGGGGCATTACTGGGCTCACACACACTGTTCTCGGTGCTGGGGAGTAAGTAGTGAACAAACAATAGCTACTGCACCCACCTCACAGGACTGCTGTGGGGTTTAAATGAGATGGTATGTGTTAAATCACCCTGGCAACCAGAAATCCTTATGCAAGTATAAGGTTTAAAGATATTCAGCAATCTCCTGCTTCTGGTAATGACAAATCTAGGGCCTCTCTGAATAAGGAAGGGGAGTATGTGAAAGGCTTGATGGCAGGTAATTCTCACCACAAAAATCTCCTCTCCATGAGTCGAAACCAAGTGCTTGAGATTTCCACAGTTGGAGTCTTAAAGAACTGAATTTCTGTAGTACTGAGACTTATGATTACATTAAAGAACTTGAGAATGAGCCCACCCCAGCCACGCCTTGCCACTCCCTTATAGTCCTTAGGACATGTAAGCACATCATCCTCTTCCAATCCCATCAAACATTAGAAAAAGCAAAGAAGAAAGGAGGAAAGGAAGCGGAGGTCAGGAGCTCTCCAGAGCTGTGGCATCACTGGCCTTCCTTCCAGCACCTTGCCTTGTAAGGATCACCCGTCCACATCCTAGTATTTGGTCAATTCTGTAAGGCACCATTTGTTAGAGAAGGCACACAAGGCACACAGGGGTTCTGTAAGTGCTCCATTCAAGCAGATGGAGGCCCAAAGTCACCCTTTAGAATTTTTACCACCTAGCCACCTCAGCCTTTATTAAAAGCAGAAATTCCAGAGGACGCTAAATAATTCAGAAGAAAAAGCAGATTGTAGTTTATAATTATGTTAACTAAAGGTACAATCTAAAGAAAAAATGGAACAGATTGTCAAGCAAGAAATAGTCCACAACACACTTAGAGAAGGCAAAATGAGTGAGGAAAAGTCCTTTTTGTTTGAAACTCTCGCCATATTTCCCTTTCTTAGTGTCTCATATACAAGGTAGCCTTCTCCAGCCCCTGAAAGGCACCTTTTATAATGCCAAGAAGCCCACTCTCCTTTTTGGGGTACGAATCCCCTATTCAAATCAAAATGACCCCTTGCTAAGGGGTAAGAGAAGCCATTATACTATTAGTGAACACTTCTATGAGGACCATAACTGCTGATACCAGAAAAAGGGTACAGCATATACCTCTGAGGGAGGCAGACAGTAAAACAGGGAGACATGATAGAAGATGAGCACCCCAAAGTCAAATCTAGCCCCTTTGACATATATGTACAAGGCTAGTCTTGCACATACGGTGATGGAAATGGACAAAATAGGTATGGTGGCAACAGTGTTCAAAAAAATAATTACATGCACCAAGCTAGCCCATTTTCCTTTGAGGAACACTGGAATACAAAGTGCCTAGAACCATCTTCCCCTGACCTCTCCCTCATTACGTGGTGGGAATAGAGATGTTACAAACACCAATACTATCTTTACAAATTATGTAATACTTCGTCAGCACTCTGACAGTAAATTAACAGCATAAATGAACAGCATATTATGATTCTGTTGATAATCATGCTTCCAATTTATTAGTCCATTTTGTTAATTCAGTTAATTCTGGACTATCAACATATGGGAAAGTGGATGTTGAATCCTGTCAAATTAAACAATTGTGCTCACGTCCAGACCACGAGAAGAGACTGTCCTTTATGTTAATGTCACTATATCGAGCACATTGTGTGCAATCTGGGGGGCCTCATTTTAGGAGGGACTTTAAAAAATGAAAAGGTTTCTAGAAGATTGTAACCAGAAAAGGGGAGTTGACTGGAATTTGTGTCATAAAATTAACAGATGAAGGCCCTTAAGATGTTTAGTCTGCAGAAAAAGGCAATTAACAGGTGACATTGTGGCAGTAGAGTCCAGGCTGTACATTGTGTTGGAAAGAGAGCATATTGATTCCGTATTGCTACAAAGGGAGAAGTTACGACCATTAGGTAACACTTCCATTTTAATATTCACTCATTCCACCGACACACAGTGAGAGTTTGCTGTGTGCCAGGCATCATGCTAGACACCAGTGGTATGGTGACCAAAAAAAAAAGACCTAACCCCTATCCTCAAAGAGCTCAGATTTGGCTGGGGATAACCATTGCAAAGCAAAATAATCAGTGCTACCTACAATGGAGAAATGGAAACAGAGAGGAGGGACTGCCCAATTCAAGCAGGAGGCAGAAGTAGATTGGAGAGGCGAGGCTTTCGTTAAGAATATCAGCCAAACAGTAACAACTTTCTATCAACTTGAATTGTCCTACCATGGAATAAGCTACTTCCAAAGCCTCCTCTGAGCTCGGGAGTGCCTCTTCACTAGAAGCATTTAAGCAAGAAGATATCACTTCATCGGGTGAAAGGTTGAACAAGATGGTTTCTAAGGTGCCTTCTAGCTCTAAAATTCTGTTCTTCTACTGACTCCAAGTGGATATTCTATTGACCAAGTGGATATCCTATTTTATCTGACAGGAAAGCAGAACATTTTATTCATCAAGTTTCCCAGTAGCGGTGTTCTGGTTAATGAGAATTTTAATATATACACCTCAACTTAACTACAAAATATAAATGTAAAAGGAAAAGTTGCCATCCTGCCCATTTTCCTCCACCAACAAAATTTTTAAAATCCAAATTTAAATGATAGTAATTTTTGTTGATGGCAG